ATATATATATGCATAGATATATCTATATGAATATGTATATATATAAATGCATAGATATATCTATATGAATATGATTATATATATATATATATATGCATAGATATATCTATATGTATATGTATAAATATATATATGCATAGATATATCTATATGTATATGTATATATATAAATGCATAGATATATCTATATGAATATGATTATATATATATATATATATGCATAGATATATCTATATGAATATGTATATATATAAATGCATAGATATATCTATATGAATATGATTATATATATATATATATATGCATAGATATATCTATATGAATATGTATATATATAAATGCATAGATATATCTATATGAATATGATTATATATATATATATATATGCATAGATATATCTATATGAATATGTATATATATAAATGCATAGATATATCTATATGAATATGATTATATATATATATATATATGCATAGATATATCTATATGAATATGTATATATATAAATGCATAGATATATCTATATGAATATGATTATATATATATATATATATGCATAGATATATCTATATGAATATGTATATATATAAATGCATAGATATATCTATATGAATATGATTATATATATATATATATATGCATAGATATATCTATATGAATATGTATATATATAAATGCATAGATATATCTATATGAATATGATTATATATATATATATATATGCATAGATATATCTATATGAATATGTATATATATAAATGCATAGATATATCTATATGAATATGATTATATATATATATATATATGCATAGATATATCTATATGAATATGTATATATATAAATGCATAGATATATCTATATGAATATGATTATATATATATATATATATGCATAGATATATCTATATGAATATGTATATATATAAATGCATAGATATATCTATATGAATATGATTATATATATATATATATATGCATAGATATATCTATATGAATATGTATATATATAAATGCATAGATATATCTATATGAATATGATTATATATATATATATATATGCATAGATATATCTATATGAATATGTATATATATAAATGCATAGATATATCTATATGAATATGATTATATATATATATATATATGCATAGATATATCTATATGAATATGTATATATATAAATGCATAGATATATCTATATGAATATGATTATATATATATATATATATGCATAGATATATCTATATGAATATGTATATATATAAATGCATAGATATATCTATATGAATATGATTATATATATATATATATATGCATAGATATATCTATATGAATATGTATATATATAAATGCATAGATATATCTATATGAATATGATTATATATATATATATATATGCATAGATATATCTATATGAATATGTATATATATAAATGCATAGATATATCTATATGAATATGATTATATATATATATATATATGCATAGATATATCTATATGAATATGTATATATATAAATGCATAGATATATCTATATGAATATGATTATATATATATATATATATGCATAGATATATCTATATGAATATGTATATATATAAATGCATAGATATATCTATATGAATATGATTATATATATATATATATATGCATAGATATATCTATATGAATATGTATATATATAAATGCATAGATATATCTATATGAATATGATTATATATATATATATATATGCATAGATATATCTACATATATGTATGTATACATACATATATATACATCTATGTATAGATACGTACATATACAGACATCTATGTACAGATACATACATATACATACATCTATGTACGTATACATACATATACATACATGTATGTACATACATATACATACATGTATGTACATATACATACCTACATATACATATGTGTACATATACATACATATACATATCTGTACATATACATACATATACATAGCTGTACATATACATACATATACATATGTGTACATATACATACATATACATAGCTGTACATATACATACATATACATATCTGTACATATACATGCATATACGTCTCTGTACATACATACATACATATGTCTAGATATACATACATACATATGTCTAGATGTACATACGTACATACATATGTCTAGATATACATACATACATATGTATATATACATACATACATGACATGCATTTCTTTATACTTAAGATGAACATATAAAATTATTTATTTTTATTGGAAGGCAAACCATAAATTGTATACTTATTAGATCTATTTACTTTGTGTTATGATCGTCTTAAAATAATGCTTTTAGAATAATCTCTTAAGTAATTAAATCGTCTCCCATCAATGTTAGTAATTTTAAATCTTCTTATAGGAAATATGATTTCCTTTTATATGGTTTATGTTCTAAAGTAAGGATTCTAAAAATAAAAAAAAATCATTAGCCTTCTTATGGATTTGTAGCAAGCAATCAACTTTTGATTTATTGACTTGTCCATATGGATGTATTTAGCATATAGTCAAAATTATTTTTTATATGATGAACTTATATGCACATCTTGGGAGTCACATACTTAAAATAATTGCCTTCTCATCTAAGAACAAATAACTAAATAACATTCAATAACATGTCAACATTAGTAAACATATGATTGATCATTTTAGCTTTAGTAATTAAGTTTTTAGTTTTAGTCAGTATATTTAGAGCAACCTAACCCATCTTATATTTATATAGAGATTAATGCATCATGAATTTTATAACACATAGGTGAGTTCAGTTTTCTTTTTTTTTAGCTCTCTCATTATATAAGTGAGTTCAGTTGATTGTCCTTTTCAAATAGGATTATAAGACAAATGTGCTTGACTTTCAAAATCTTTTGTGAGATTTCAAGAACTAAATCTATTGTATACAATGCATTAAAGTCGGGATCAAGCTTTTATTATGGTGGTAAGTCTCACCTTAGATTTAGAATTCAAAGTAAATGCCCTTAATTGTAATCTTGTAATTTCTCCTTTTGTCGTCTATATTCAATTACTTTTAGTAAAAATTAAGCCCAACTTTTACATGCCAACCTAAACATAATCAAATCATCAAAATATTAAAGCTTACTTTAGAATAATTTTAAGCACTTATGAGTCTCACATGTATCTAGTGCTTTTACTATCTTCCTTTAGCCAAGTTCAAATTTGAATTAATTTGAGCCAATTCCTTACCACATAAACTTGAGGTTGGACCTTTGATTTGTTCTTGAGGTTGAAGATCAAAGCAAAGATCTTAGCCATGGAAATGCTTGTGATTAAAGTGGAGAGAGGTTTAGAGTCTAAACTCTTATAGCTTGGTGCTCTACAATGGCTTTAGTTAAGTTTAGAGAAATAAAAGATGTAGCAAATTTTATTTTATTTATAATTTATATTGGAAGTTACAATCTTTTTCAAATAAATTTGAATGTGTTGTTTGAATTAAATTTGAACATACAATTAGAACTACATTAAAATCAATTTCTTTGCACACTTGTACGAGTTCTTTAAATAATGCGGCATTTAATACATACCACACAAATATTATATATTTACTTATCTAATACCAAAATGTTTTTATGTACATACAAAATACTAAAACTTTGATTATTGCATAAAAAATTTCTTATTAATAACTTTTGAAATATACCTTTATATTCATAAGTTTGACACCAAAGTTCATAAATGTAAATCTAAAACTTTATGTATTAAATATGTAAATGAATAAGAAACGGCGGTATATATGTAATTTTCCCTTAGATAACTCATCAATTATAAATAATCTAATTTTAATTATCTTTTCAAAGGTGTTTCATTAGAAATTGAACAAAATTAAAATAAAAAAAGAGAAATATATTAAATATTTTGGTAAAAAATAATTAGGTCCTAAAAATGTGCTTAAGAGCAAAAAGGGATAATTACATGCATAGTATTTAAAACTTCGATATTTACAAAATTAGCATATTTGAGATACTAAATTGATACGTTAGCACATATCACGACCAATCACTGATAATTTGACAAAAATGGAAAACGTAGGTTGAGGTTTTATAATGAAGTTTGATATTTATGTGAAAATTGAAAAAGGGATGCTACGTTTATAAATAGGTGTTTTCAGCGCTATCTGTGTAAATGAGAACAAATTTGCGTGCGATAGACGTACGCAGTGCTGCGTGCGATATTGGGGTATATACCGAGGGTATACCGAGGGTACAAGGGGGTTACATCCACGGTATAAGCCCTTGTAACCTCCCTGTAACCTCTCTGTAACTTACGTGTAACCTCTTATAATATGATAACAGAAGCGCAAAACTTATTTTAGGGTAAAAATAGGTTACAGGAAGTTACAAGGAGGTTAGAAGGGGTTATACAGCGGATGTAGCCCACTTGTACTCTCAGTATAACCCCAATATCGCACGCAGCGCTGCATACGTCTATCGCACACCAATTTTTTCCGTGTAAATGCTGCCATTGTCAGCCCTGGGAGAAAAAAAAAAACAGAGAAAAAAAAAACTCCTGATTTGTGTGAAACAAACTCAACTTTCCTTTCAAAAATTTTTCTTGGGACACACCTCGTCAGCTATCCAAATTGTTTAGGTAGTTCTACGTGCGGGCTCCCAGTAATAGATTACAACCTGTGTTATATCGGACGCACCTAAAAAATATTAAAGTGAAATTGTGAACTTAACAATGACCCAAAAATAATCCCGAAATAACATATGAGTGAGTTTATTTTTAATAATAAAAAATAGTACCTTAAAAAATTATTAAAATCGAAATATTTTTCGGCCGTACTGCCGGGACAGCTATCTACTCTCTAGTCCAATCTCCAGGGAAGCGAGGGGGAAGGGGCTGGGGGGCACGAGAGCGCAACAAAGGGGCTTAGGTCGCTTTCCTTCTCTTTCTCTTCTTCTTCCTCTTTCCTTCCTGAACATTTCGTAAGAACCGCAAATCGGGATCTTGCTAGAACTACTCAAGGATCTTCTCGCGGCAGTCCGCTGCTGAGATGCTGGAGAACAGTTCCGACAACCTCAAACGTTTTGGTCCTCCTACTCAAAGGTATCTCTACTCTTTATTCCTCCCAGTTCTGGGGATCAGGGATGATGAATCTTGCTCTAGTTAGGGTTTCTTCTTATATCCAATCTGGAATGCCTTCCGTTTTCTTTAGCGTGTCATCTGAATAGAGATATGATATTGACGACGTTTGGTTGATTTGGTGCTTTCATTCCATGTTTCTGTAATTGCGTTTGTCCACTGACACGTGATTATGTTCTGTGATTTGATAGGAATCGCTCTCTCAATCGCCGGAAATCCGGAGGTATGCCAGGATTCTTTCTGTACTGTATATTATAGTACGGTTGTTTAGGAATCTCTCTTCGTATTAGTAGGGAAGTATCTTAAATTTTTTAGTGTTGCTGCTCTTTTTGGTTTAAATTATAGTTCTTTAGAGTTTCAGCACCTAGAGTACCTACGGAAGGCATTTCGGCAGCTTTGTTATAGTGTTTTTTTGAAGCACGATCTGGATTTGCTTTGCTACGGTGGCTCTTAGTAAAGGTGTTATTTTGTTTTACTTATTGTGCCGCCTTTAATCTCATGATTACTATTTCTAAGATAAGCTCAAGCAATCTAGATCAGCAAAGTTTTTTTATCTAATTAAATCCTTTACCAGGGAAAAAAAAAATTATGGAGTTAGTGAAAGATTAGGGAATCGGGGTGATGTTTGTGTTGACCTCACTTTTGTGAGGACTCACCCCACCTACTTGCACATGACCCTAGACAAGGATCGTGCTTTCTTGGGCTTCTCCAGTGCAAGCCCAAGCTCCTTGGTTGAGTGGGTTTAGGGTTTTGACTAGGTGAGGAATCTAAATTGACCATCATGAGCTAGACATGCCCTTGGTCACCCAAATCAACCTAAAACCTTAGGGACTTGCTTATGGACTATGGGAACCACTTTGACCATGAAATTCACCTTGGGAAAGGTGCTTAACTAAATTGATCCCTAGCCTCACCAAAAGACTCCCTAACCCTACTAAACTCTAAAAGTTACCTTAAACCCTAATGTGCCCTTTTGACCCTAAAATTTGATGGCACCTTAGGATGATCAAAATCAAATAGGCCAATCCCAATTTTGACTAAATATGGACCAATTGATCACATCTACATCCAATTAATTCATATGACGGCTTATTCATTTGTTAAATATTAATTATAAAAATTGAATGTAAAAAAGATTATTTTGTACTGTCCGATCGTCTGTTCTCTTCTTGGTTAATTCCAACCTCTAGGTCGGGCCGTGACAAAAGCGTTATCAGAGCAAAGCTTAGGATGAAATAATACAATTTTGATGAAGGAGCTAATAGTATAATTACAAGAAAATTTTATAATAATAAGATTGAAAATTTAAGTCAACACTAATTAAATCATACTGTTAATTCATGCAAATGGATGCATTCGATATTATCGACGAGGGAAGTTTAGTTGGAAATGAAGAAGTACTGTCTGTTATAAATGTGAACATGAATGACGAAAATAATATTAGTTAATTCAGGAGTTCGAATCACTGTTGGCAGGAATGATACAACTGCTATGGATAAATATTTAAAGATATTTCAATACCTGCGTCTACCTTTGTTCAAGGAAATTGAAAATCAGATTAAAGCAGAGAACTACTGATGAGAATAGAAAATATACTAGAAAACATGATATATTTGGATGAAAGAAGATTGACATTGACTATATTTATGTTGGAAGTATGATGAAGCTACAAGATGGTGGTGTGGGTAGTGTTAGGACAAGCTAGGGGCTATACCCAACATAATTGTAAGTTGGGAGGATTTTGTGTAGTTTTTTATAAAATCGTTTGTACCCCTGTTTGCTTGAAGGAAGTGCATGAGATGTCCATTAAGTTGGTGTAAAAAGAGAAGATATTTATGCAATATGAAGTAGAGTTCACTGCACAATTGAGACATGCATCATAGATGATGGCTATTACAGAAGAAAAATGTTGCAAATGTAGGCTAGACGAATAGAGATTGATTTTCATTTTATTTAGAAGTGTAAGAAGACAAACAAGAAAAAGAGTATTGAGGAAGGAGAGCATGTGAACCAATCAGAGGGATTTAATGGGAACAATCTCAAGTTTAGTTCTGTAAATTCAGTAGTGGAACTTCTTGAAGTATTGTAGTTACTTTTGCCAAATGTGAAAAACATCATAAAGAATAATGTTTGATGGGCTCGTATGCTTATTACTGGTGTTGTCAGCCTGGTCATAATTAGATATTGCCCTTCACTTTGCCAGAAAATCTCAGAAGATCAAAAATCAGGTGGAGCTCTTTCACATGAGATTGCAGATGAGATAAAGGATAGAATCTACATCTTTACATCCTACTCAAGCTCATCCAAGACAATCTGTTCAATCTCTAGTTTATTTTCTTACAAGTAGAGAGCCTGAAGAACTTATTGCTAATGTTGATGCTACTAGGCATTAATGATTCTTATGTTTTATCGCATGTTATAGGAGTGTCATTCTATTGTATTTGTTATCGTGATGTTTTCTTGTTTCATTTGTTGGGGAAAGTTAGTTACTTGCAATAGATCATTGTTTTATTCTATACATGTATCATCTTGTTGGATGAAACTTAAACTTCTTCATGAAAATTTATGGATAATGTAAATTTCTTGCTTAATGAGAAGTGATTTGAGGCCTAAGATATGAATCATGTTCATATGTTTATAACTTTTGAGGACTATATTTTATGAGGGGAGATTGTAATAATTAGAAAAAATAATAAAATAAATAAAATGAAATTTATCCCATCAGAACACGTGTTCAAAGTAGACACGATGTTCTTGGAAAATCAGAATGAAGGATTTATTTCCTCATTTCGTTCGAACCGAAGGAACGAGCCAAGCGAGAGATAGACACCGAGTGAACCAGAGAGAGGAGTGAGAGCAAAAGCGTATAAGGAAACAAAGGAAGGAGACAAGCAACTCTGTTGACTGTTGCGAGCAGCAAACAAAGGAAGGGGGCGAGCAACTCACCTTTCGTGCGTTGTTGATGGTCTAAGATATGACGAACAAAGATGAATGAAGATTGAGGTTTCTTGTATGAGAAAGGAGAGAATTCAAGCCCCTGTAAGTTTCCATCGAGGGAAATCATGCCCTAATCGAGTGAAAGAGAAGAAGGAGAAGAGAAAAGCGGAAATAGAGGAAGAAGCTCTCTCGTGCGACTGTAGAGCCAAATCGATTGACATGGCTTTCAGGAGAGGGGATCTTGTGCAGAGAATAAGAAAACTTCTTCTCTTATCTTGACTTTTTGTGTGAGAAGGGCGAATCGAGAAGTTCGTAGTCAAGCAGACCTTCTCTTGTCACACCTTCCTTTGCGGTTCCGCGATTTGGTGCGAAGCCATGAGCATCTTTTAGGGTCATGAAGGGCATAATTGAAGGTTGAGAGGTAAGATTTATTTATATATGTTAATAATAATAATAATTATAAGAATAAATAAACTCTTTAAGTATAGAAATTAAAGAATTGTTAAATATAAATTAATAAAAGTTTATTATAATCATTAATCAAGTAATGTACAATTTAATTAAACAAATAATAGTTAGGCGATCTTAGGATCAAGCATATTAAAAAAAGGTAAACTAAGCATATAATTAATTTTTAATTTTTTTTATAGATGCATGCTAAAGGAGGCAAAGTTAGAACAAAAAGATTAGATTTCAAGCTAAATGAACAAGATAAATATTTTTACTTCTAAATTATGATAATAATAATGTATTTATTCTAAATTACTCGCATTAGAATGATGTTAGTTAAGATACCTTGATATTACAAGTAGAATGCAATTATTTTTTTATTATTCAAATTGATCATCTTGAAATGAATATGAATGATTTGCATAGTTATTCTTATTTATTATATATGCATATTATAAAAGTAAAATATTGGATGATATTTAGAATGCGTATGAAAAGATTTATAATATGTTTGTACGTGCATGATTAATTATGATAATTTCTTTTTTTTATGGTACTAGCGAGTGAATGCTAAGGTACCTGTGCACGTAAATGAAATAAGATATTGATATTGAAGTATCTTCTTGGTATACGTTTTAGATGATGCTCTTGTGACGGTTCTATACATATTAAAAAGATATTGACATATAATTTATACAACAAGATAGTTAATGTTTAGAATCACCTTGAATGATAATGTTAGATTGTACAAAATTTTTAGATGCTTTTAGATTATAAAATTTAACAGACATGCATATTAGTTTCATTTTCATTGTATTACTATGTTCACTACTGTAATTAACTTATTATTGTTTTAAACTAACATTTCTGGTTTAATTAATTGATTAAAAAATGAGCAATAGAAGATGAAATATTCATTGATGACGCGAAAAACCATAAATGAGGTAAATTTAACTGTATTATTTTAATTTATTTTATCTAGTGGTTCTTTCATTTCTTAAATGTTAGTTAGTTTTACAATCCGATCGCATATTCCCGCCTGATTAATTCTAAGCCTCAGATCAGTTTGTGACATAGATGACCTCATGCCAGGTCTCATCAGTGAGTTGATACTATCAATTGCAATTCAAGTGGTTATAAAAATATGGGAGATTGATTATTTGGGTTGGCCTTTATGGTCAACTATGGCGCTTTATGGTGGCTTGTGCCTAATTGTAAGGGAGTTTTGATGGTGTGGTATGCTATAGGTTGGTTAGTGGCCTTGAAGGACGGAGATCGGTGGCAGGTTTGCTATAAAGCAAACATATTTGCTTAATGTTGGAAAAATTTGAGATTAATCTCAGATAATAGTGGGAGACAAGGTGAATTATAGTTATGAACATATGGATGCATGTTGGGGATACAAAAAGCTTCATGAACCAATGTGGTTTGAGCAAGAGTGGCCAAGAAGAATGGTATGAGGGAATCCAATTGCGATAGTTTGTGCTGACTAATGTTCAGATGTCAATGAAGGACTATACAAAATCAACATCAGTATGGTTAAATCTTAGGATCTAGACAAATGACAAGAAGCTTTTGCACAACTGGTAAGCAGCTAAGATCTCGTGTTGGAATACGATGTCACGTGAAATCCATGGAGCAAATGAGAGGGAGATTGTGCATGGTGAGATTCGATACATGATGTTTACTTCTGAGAATAGAGCTGCATACTTTCATTGATAGGAAAAAGGGTATAAATACGTATTACAAGACCCAAATAAAAAGAAATACATAAATTCAGAAATAGACCAACTAGGTATGCACAAATATAGAAATAGAAAATAAAGGAAACAAATA